CGTCTGCTAGGGGCTCGGCGGCGGCTGGTGGCGCGGCGCGGGGCCGAGTAGACCCTTGGCCATCGCCCGCGACGGCGAGGAAATCAACGACACGCCCTCGCGCCTTTGGGGCCGCGGGTCGGATATCTCCCTCGCCAGGTGGCGCAGCAAGCTCCGCCGTGGCCTCCGCAGTCCAAGGCGCGCGTGGACCAAGTGCGCTTAAAAGCAGCCTCAAGTTGTTGCGGTGGTAACCAAGATGGGCACGAGCGCGCGCGGCGCGGCTCTCCGCGCTCAATGCCAGCCAAGCGACCGCCGGCAGCCGCCGATTGGGAGCGCCATGTCCCCATGCATTAAAAGCACAGCTTCCACGCCAGGTCGTCCATGGTAGTAGCGCGCTCAGCTATGAGCGGCAACAGCCCCAGACCATTGTCGAACGCCGTGCGAATAAATGGCAGGCACCACCTCAACCAGTCTCGACGATAGTTACCCCTCAGATGGCTGCCGTCGGGGAGCCATGCAGAGACCCGCCGCCTGATCTCATCCCGCAGGACCACAGACCTGGCTTCAGCATCTGCGAGTCCCAGGAGTCTTCAACGCGGAAGGCCCATCAGCTGCAGCCCTTCCTCGATGAACACAGCGTCGAGCAAAGTTGGCCCGCCCTCCGCCACCGCCAGGAGGCCAACCAATACACTCGTCGGTGCCGCAGGCTCCTGAATTGAGCACGGACCGACCGTCCCGGGATTCCTATAGTCATACCACGAAATGTTCGTAGAACCCAGACATGTTCGAATACCAAAAATAATGTTTTTAAAACATAAGCCCGATGTGTTAACATCTGACAGTCCCAGTCAGAAATGTTCTAAGCACATTCCGTGGAAACCACAAAAGGTTCCTAGAATATTGTTTGGTAAAACTATGGGCACGCGGGACGCTTCGCCACTGCTTGACAGAAGGCCGGACAGTTCGTCCGTGAGCACCCCAGCGGGGCCCTCGCAATCCGACGCGCTGCCGAGTCTGAGCGCGGTGGCCTCTTCTCTGGTGCCGCCAGCCGAAGATGACGAGGCAGAGGTGGAACTCGAGGAAGAGGACGAAACCAGTCCCGGTGCGGGAGTGGATGCACACGGCTGTGCTGCAGGGCGGTTGGCCATGATGACCTCGAAGAGGTGGTGGATCTCCACAGCGCTCGCTGCCGAAGGTGCCGACTGGGGCCATCCCAGCGCCAGGCGGTCGCAAGAATGGCCGTAGATGGTCTGGCCCTCGTCGGCCGCGTGGTCGCTTGAGGCGGAGCGCCGCCCGAGCTGCTGCTTCGGCTTGGTCTGGCGGCACCCTGTCCTTCTGGCGGATCGCAGTGTCGGTCAGGTCGAGATGTTCCTCTGACGCCTGCAGAATGCCCCAGCGCACGAGCGGGTCCGCGTGGAAGAAGAGCCGTCCGCCTGACCGAGCCATCCCCGAACCGTACATGAATCTCGGGCAGAAGCAGGTGGCTCATGCTGTCGTCGGCCTCAGAACATCCAAAAATGCAGCCACGCTTGCCGCACTGGTAAGAAATCCGCCATGAGGTGACCCATCGACCTGCAAAGGACCGAAGCAGAGCGTGAGCCCAAGCATGCGGCATCTGCTTGACGAGGTGGGTGAGTCCCAAGGTGCCTGGCTCGAGCGGGAAACCATGTGGCCCAGCGGTTCATAGAGAGGGGAATTGCGATTGCAGTCCAGGCGGGGGGCCGATCGATGATCTCGCTGAGCACGCGCTGGTGCCAGCGGGCGACGAGCGTAAGGTAAGCGGCCTCCTGAACTTCGGCATGGTGCCCTGGGAGCTTCGTCCACGTACAACTGCCAGAACTGCCTCCGGCGTGTCAAAGTATCACTCGTGGCAGTGTTCACCCCCCGCTTGACGTCGGTGGCCGTCTTGGCGAACGCTGGCGACACCCGGAACTAGAGGTTGGGTGTGCAGGGCAGCTCGGCCAGGGCCCGCTCGTCGTACCACCCCGTGGCCCGCTCTGTCCAGCCTGCGGTAGAACTCCTCGGCTCTCTGGTGGGTGGTAACGGCGCTGCAGAGCAGAGCTGCTGGTGCCATACAGGAGGAGGGGGAGGAGGAGGAGGAGGAGGAGGAGGAGGAGGAGGAGGAGGAGGAGGAGGAGGAGGAGGAGGAGGAGGAGGAGGAGGAGGAGGAGGAGGAGGAGGAGGAGGAGGAGACGCTGCTCTGAGCGAGAAACGCAGAAACTCAGGAGGAGGAGGAGGAGGAGGAGGAGGAGGAGGAGGAGAAGGAGCAGGAGGAGGGAGAGGAGGGAGGAGGCATCTTCTGGCGGCTCACCTGGGGCTCTCCTGGGGCTTTCCCCCCCGCGGCGGGAGGGCGCGCCGGAAGTCCGACGAGGAGCCGTCCGGCGCAAACGCCAGGGCGCCGTCCAGCCCCCCGGGCGCCGTGAAGTGGCGGAAGAAGGCCCCGAGGGAGCCTGCGGGGGGGGGGGAGGGGCGGGGGGTCCGTGCTCGAGTGGCCCTCTTTCCCTCCTCGTCCTCCTCCCTCCTCGTTCTCCTCTCGCTCGTCCTCCTCCTTCTCTCTCTCTCTCTCCACCTCCCCTTCGTCCTCCCGGCCTCCTTGCCACATCCCTCGGCTTGCTCGCTCCCGCCCTGCTATGCGCGAAGCTGCTCCGCAAAGAATTCAAAAGCCACCTGTTTCACAAGGCCTTGGAGCAAAGCCCTTTCGATCAGGGGTTGCGCTCGTTATGCGAATTGAGCGCGTCCTGGGGCATGCATGCCATCGACCACCCAATGAGCCCCTCCTCCTCCGCCTCCTCCAACTCCTCCTCCTTCTCCATCGAATGCTCATCCTTGGCGGCTGCGGGCAAACGGCATGACAATGATCCGAAGCCGAGCCTAACCCCGTGCAAGCCGGCCTGGACGAAGGCACAACTCATTACTTCCCCGTCGGCTTTTGATGGATTTTAGAGTTCCCAGCCTTCTGGCACCCGGACGCTCCAAGACGGCCCAAGGGGCCCCCAAGACCGTTCCAAGATAGCCGAAGAGGCTTCCAAGAGGGCCCCACAGCGGCCCGCGAGGGCCCCAAGATGGAGCCCGAGGCGCCCAAGACGGCCCGAGAGGGCCCCAAGAGGGCCCCAAGAGAGCCCCAAGAAGGAGAACGCAAACCAAACAGCCGGAGGCTCGCATAGAAGATGGGAACACGCTTGACAGTGCGCACCAGGAACTGAGCTTCGACAAGAGGGTGGGCACTGACAAGAAGGTGGGCACCGAACAGGGTGGGCACTGGCGGGATTTACACGAGTCACCCCCAAGTATGAGCAAGCCTCCAATCCAGGAAGGACTGTTACGCATAATTGTGCGAATGCTTGACTCGATACTTCGGACCAGAGGCCAATGCAACTTTTCGACATGAATGAACTGGTGGGCGCTGATCGGAATCTAAATGGACAGGAGCACAACAGGGGCAACTCGACACATTGAAACGCTAAGGGACGGTATCGCTTCAAGTGCCAGGCCTGTCCGCCTGGTGATCTGCAACATGTTGAATCTGGATAAGGGGAGAAGTGTGAAACGACGCGAAGGCCAACTGCTGCTTCAGCCTGATGTGATCTACCATCGTGCTCGCGCGGGGAAATAAATATTGTACACGTCCGTCTGCCGACTCGTGCTGCCCAATCGTGTTGCGAAGGGCGGGGCTGGGATGTCATACCACATAGTTGCGAGGTATCCATGCAAGCTGCACTGATCAATTCCACTGGCGACCATGCCGGGCTGTATACAGATGTGGGCAAACGTGTTCACGGATATATGCGTGGGGGCAAGTATGCAAGTCATGGAAGCCGTGCTCAGTGAAGATCAAGCTGTGTAGCTGAAGCGGCCTAGAGGGTCGCTCACTTCGCGTGAGGGCGCGGTCTGGGCGCGAGCACCTTTTTCCTCCGACAACCTGTCGCTGGGTCAGCCTCACATCTCAAAACCCTGCATGCCTCACCAGAACATCGTCGGCAAAACTCACCTGGCGGGCGCATGGAAAAGGGGGGACGGAGGGGGACAGGAGGGAGAGGTGGGATCGGGCTAAAAGCCAGGGGGGAGAGAGCAGGGGGCGAGGAGGACCGTAGAGGAAGTGTGCGCGAATCCGAACCGACAGGAGCGAATAGGTCCGCCAGCGAGGGACGCCGCCCTGGCGAACCCTCACACAAGTTTCCCCCGCCACGCCATGCATCCATTTGGCGCTACCTGGGCGATGCTTAGGCGACAGATGGTCTTACCTTGATGACTCAAGGCAACCTTACTCGCGCACTTGCGAACACGGTCTTACATTGGCCCTGGTGAGTAGTACTACTACAGCGCAATGCTGATGCAATTTGAAACGCAAGGCAATGGGACGCCAAGGCGCCCGCAGCCAGGATCCCACTCCGACTCAAAGCAGAAGTGGACTCAGACAACGGCTCAGCCTCCTAGTGAGAGGCGCCGAGCCCTGGTGGCCTCGCCAACACACCTGGGCTTATGGTTCTGATGACTTTGGGACTCGGCCAGAAGTGACCGGTAACAGCCGAAATTAGCGTCAGCGCTGGCGCGCATTTCATAACGAGGTACCCGAATCCCCCCCGACCTACTCGCGTTCTCGAGCTATTAATGGCCGGTGATAGTCAGCGCTGTGCCCGATTTGCAACGCAGCAAGCTCTGCGGCGCGCAGTGCGAGACCAATTCATCTGCAGCGGTCGTCGAAATTCCAGTGCAGCTTCATGTACCCCGATCTGGCCCTCTGAGAGGGAGAGAGCTGCGCCTCTCAACGAGTGTACTGCCCGGGCAAGGTGAACGAGAATAGAATCGCCGCAAAGCGTTGCCGAGCAATGAGCATCGAAATCGAAAAAATGAAGGCCGCACCAAGACCCGCCAGCGCAAAACACCAAGGAGGGAAATTCAGGATGGAACGTGTGATCATAACCGGCTGCTGGGAATACTGGGCACGCGATGAGGATGGGGGGGATACGGGGGAAGGGGAAAACGAATGGCAGGCAGAGAAGCCAGCCTCATCTGAAGGGGGTCGGCGGAGGAGCAGAACGCGGAAAGGGACTGCGGCGGCAGCACGAAGAAGGACGACGTGGGCTAGGAAGGAGGGAGCGTGGATCCGCACGAGGGGGAAGTTCAGTTTGGCCACGCACTGCCTCGGGTGTACTTGGGGGGAGGAGGGTATCGGGTTGAGTAAGGTAAGCTGCCCATGGGGAGCATTAGCGTCAAAAGAAAGCTATCAATGATGACCTCAGATGATCTGTTTTCGAGACTTGGTTCGAGTTTGCTGCACAACAACAAATGTCGTGCATTGGCAAAGACAGAATTAATCAACGGCACGACGTTCCGTGGATGCCAACACGTCTGGCATGCGCTGATTCCAGCATTGAGGGCGATAACATCCGACTCCACCTTAACTTCCCACATCTCGCCCAATAATGACAACGCATGCTGCCAACGTCCACTGTTCCGGCAAGCACTGATGCCCGGGACATAAATGCAGGCATCTGGCTCAACCGTTGAGTCGCATAACTCCCTCAATGTCGACAACGCCAGCTGCCACCGCCCAGCTTTGCCACAAGCGTTGACTACCGCAGAATGGCAGGTGTAACTCTGCTCCAGCTGCTTGTCCAACATCTCGCTGACCAAAGCCAACGAGCTCTGCCAATCTCCCAATTTGGCATACGCTGCGAGCATGGCGCTGTATTCGACGACACGCAATTCCAGACTTGACTCGCAAATGTCTCTCAACAGCGACAGCGCTCGCCGCCAATGCCCACCTTTCTCGCAAGCGGTAATCGCAGCGTTGTAGCAGACTTGGGCTAACCAACCGATTAATAGTACCAACGAATCGCATATGGATGCGGTGCGTGTTCAGGGCACGAGCGCCCTGCATAGGGTCATTCTCACTGATACCAACCTCAAGCTTCACATGGATACAGAAGGACGGAGGTCTCTACAAGTTCGCCCACGTTCGACATGAGATCCGCAGCAATTAACACCACAACTGGAAACAACGGCTACAATTCGCGTTTTGCCCACGAGACGCTGCATCGAAACAACGACATTGGCAACGCTGAAATGAGGGACTGAATACTCCTAACACGAGTAAAGGATGAGGCAACGATGATACTAATCATATAGGATGCTAATTCGCGTGTTTGAGTGATGCCACCCCGTTTGCGTGATGCCGCCAGCAGTACTGCAGCGTGGTGTCACCGTATTTGCTGCACCAGTGTAGCTAACCTGCTAGCGTCTGCATACTATTACTTTGTTCGTGTGACGTCACCTCACTTGTTACACGCAGCTCAGAGGTCAGGAATTCCATGATGACAACATGTTTGCGAGATGTCAGCTGCTAGAGGTTTCTTGATGTGACCTCGTTTGCGAGTAGACAGCTGCTAACGTTTGCGTGATGGCACCTCTTTTGCGTGGTGTCAAATTCTGCGCCGATGCGTGATGTCACCTCGTTTGCCACACGGGTGTAGCTCAGCTGTTACCTTCTGCTTGATTCTACCTCGCGCGCGTGATGCAACATCCTCGTCTGGCGTCGCCTACCAGCGTTTGCGCGATGTCACCTGGCTTGCATGATGTCACATGCGAGGCGTTCCGCGAGGTGACACCTCGCTTGCCTGAGTCACCTGCTAGCGTTTGCGTGTTCTCACCTCGTGTACGGCAACTGCTCGCGTTTGTGTGATGTCAGCTCGTTTGTGTGATGCCACCTGCTAGCGTTTGCGTGATGTCCCCTCGATTGCGTGATGTTATCCGAATGCACCGGAGCGTGATATAACCTCCTTTGTTACACTGGTGTAGATCACCTGCTAGTGTTTGCGCGATGCCCCCTCACGACTGGGATCTTCTAAAGGAGAATCCACAAACAAAAAGCGAACCAAAAACAATAACACGCAAAAAAGGAGTGTGCCACAAAAGTCAGTGTCCAATTGTGCAATTGTGCGTCTTGGGCACGCACTTGCTGTTGCACTAATTGTTGGCGCAGGCTCCGTTGTCATAGGGAAACTATGTATCGTCATGTTTGCTTCACGTGTTGCTGCGCTTTTTCCCCACATGCTTCGTGGGGTTCTGGTTTTCTTCCTTGCCGCGCCGCACCCGCGACACTCACACACACACACACACATACACACCTCACTCTTCGTACAGCACAGCTCAGCACAGCACATCACAGCACAGCACAGCACAGCTCAGCACACAGCTCAGCTCAGCTCAGCACACAGCACAGCTCAGCACAGCTCAGCACAGCCCAGCACGGCTCAGCTCAGCACAGCACAGCACAGCTCGTGGCACTTTCTCGACACCGTGCGCAGGGGGTGGTCTCTCGCCGCCGTTTCTATACGCGCCAGTCTTCCAGGGCACACCGGGCATGGCATATTCTCGACACCATAGGGGGTGCGCAGGGGGTGGTTTCTCACCGCGGTCTCTATACGCCCCGGTCGTCCAGGCACAGCAGGCGTGGCACTTTCTCGACACCATAAGGGGTGCGCAGGGGCTGGTCTCTCACCGCGGTCTCTATACGCCCCAGTCGTCCTGGCACAGCAGGCGTGGCACTTTCTCGACACCATAGGGGGTGCGGAGGGGGTGGTTTCTCACCGCGGCCTCTATACGCCCCTGTCGTCCAGGCACAGCAGGCGTGGCACCTTCTCGACACCATAAGGGGTGCGCAAGGGGGTGGTCTCTCACCGCGGTCTCTATACGTCCCAGTCGTCCAGGCACAGCAGGCGTGGCACTTTCTCGACACCTTAGGGGGTGCGCAGGGGGTGGTCTTTCACCGCGGTTTCTATACGCCCCGGTCGTCCAGGGCACACCAGGCATGGCACTTTCTCGACACCATAGGGGCTGCGGGGGGGGGGGGGTCCCCACGTGCTTCGTGGGGTTTTGGTTTTCTTCCCTGCCGCGCCGCACCCGCGACACTCTCTCTCTCTCTCTCTCTCTCTCACACACACACACACCTCACTCTTCGTACAGCACAGCTCAGCTCAGCACAGCACAGCACAGCACAGCTCAGCTCAGCTCAGCACAGCACACAGCTCAGCTCAGCTCAGCACACAGCACAGCTCAGCACAGCTCAGCACAGACCAGCACGGCTCAGCTCAGCACAGCACAGCTCGTGGCACTTTCTCGACACCGTGCGCAGGGGGTGGTCTCTCGCCGCCGTCTCTATACGCCCCAGTCTTCCAAGGCACACCAGGCATGGCATATTCTCGACACCGTAGGGGGTGCGCAGGGGGTGGTTTCTCACCGCGGTCTCTATACGCCCCGGTCGTCCAGGCACAGCAGGCGTGGCACTTTCTCGACACCATAGGGGGTGCGCACGGGCTGGTCTCTCACCGCGGTCTCTATACGCCCCAGTCGTCCTGGCACAGCAGGCGTGGCACTTTCTCGACACCATAGGGGGTGCGGAGGGGGTGGTTTCTCACCGCGGCCTCTAGCCCCGGTCGTCCAGGCAGGCGTGGCACCTTCTCGACACCATAAGGGGTGCGCAAGGCCTCTCACCGCGGTCTCTATACGCCCCAGTCGTCCAGGCACAGCAGGCGTGGCACTTTCTCGACACCGTAGGGGGTGCGCAGGGGGTGGTCTCTCACCGCGGTTTCTATACGCCCCGGTCGTCCAGGGCACACCAGGCATGGCACTTTCTCGACACCATAGGGGCTGCGGGGGGGGTGTTTTTTCACCGCGGTCTCTATACGCCGCGGTCATCCAGGCACAGCAGGCGTGGCACTTTCTCGACACCATAGGGGGTGCGCAGGGGGTGGTCTCTCGCCGCCGTCTCTATACGCGCCAGTCTTCCAGGGCACACCAGGCATGGCATATTCTCGACACCGTAGGGGGTGCGCAGGGGGTGGTTTCTCACCGCGGTCTCTATACGCCCCGGTCGTCCAGGCACAGCAGGCGTGGCACTTTCTCGACACCATAGGGGGTGCGCAAGGGCTGGTCTCTCACCGCGGTCTCTATACGCCCCGGTCGTCCAGGCACAGCAGGCGTGGCACTTTCTCGACACCGTAGGGGGTGCGCAGGGGGTGGTCTCTCACCGCGGTTTCTATACGCCCCGGTCGTCCAGGCACAGCACGCGTGGCACTTTCTCGACACCATTAGGGGGTGCGCAGGGGGTGGTCTCTCACCGCGGCCTGTATACGCCCCGGTCGGCACAGCACGCGTGGCACCTCCTCGACACCATAAGGGGGTTGTCCCTCAGCGCGACCGCTATGCGCCTTTGTCGTCCCGGGCACAGCATGCGTGGGACTGTCTCGACATTATAAAGGGTGCGCAGGGGGTGGTCTCTCACCGCGGCCGCTATCCGTGACGGTCGTCCAGAGCACAGCAGGCATGGCATATGTTCGACACCATAGGGGGTGCGCAGGGGGTGGTCTTTCACCGCGGCCGCTATCCGTGACGGTCGTCCAGGGCACAGCAGTCATGGCATATTCTCGACACCATGAGGGGGTGCGCAGGGGGGGGTCTCTCACCACGGCCACTATCCGTGACGGTCGTCCAGGGCACAGCGGTATCGGCGGGGCAACGGCCACGAACATCATTCTCACATGCTTCACTTCAGCTCTCATCACTCCAGCCATAATATAAGTATGTGGGGTTCCTCGGTAGCGTAATTCTTGCGCGAGTTCTTGGTTTTTGTCGTGCTTGTTGAGCCGCTCTGTATTTTACATTAACTGATAAACAAGCTCTCATTGTTATCAGGAAGCCGCAGCTATGAGTCCCCTTGTTTGCGTCTGCATGACGTCACCTCGTTTGCGTGATGTCATCTTGTGTGCGTGATGCCACCTGCTAGCTTTTAGGTGATGATACCTGCTACACCGCAGCGTGATGTCGCATCGTTCGCGAAGCCGGTGTAGCTCACCTGCTAGCGCTTAAATGATGTCATCTTGTCTGGGAGATACTATCCGCTACAGTGTCCGTGATGACACCTCGGTTGCGTACTTGCACCTGCTGCACAGCAACGTCATGCCACTTTGCTTGCTACACCTGTGTAGCGAACAAGGTGGCATCACGATTTGGACAAACATGGTGGCTTCACGCTTCTGTGTATCAAGCGATGTGACATCACGCTGCGATGTAGCAAACGAGGTGGCATCGCGATGCGGTGCAGCAAACGAAGTGGCAGTACGCTGCGGTGTTGAAGTGGAGGTGGCATGAGGTGGCATCACGCTGGAATGTAGCAAACAAGGTGGCATCACGCTGCGGTGTGGCAAGCGAGGTAGCATCACGCTGCGATGTAGCAAACGAGGATACATCGCGCTGCTGTGTAGCAGGTATTCTCACGCAAATGAGGTGACATCACGCAAACGCTAGCAAGTGACATTATGCACACAAAAAAAGCATCACGTAAGTGACGTGACCTCACGCAAACGAGGTGGCATCACGGAAACAAAGCGGCATCACATAAACAGGGTGGGAGCATGGTGCAGTGTAGCACGCACCGGTGTAGCGGGTGTCATCTCGCAAGCAATGTAGCTTCAAGCTGTACAGTTAGCACGCTGCCGTGTAGCAGGTAGCAGCAGGCAGAAGAGGCGCCATCATGCAACCGAGGTGGTAACACGCCAGCGGGGTAGCATAACGCAAACGCTGGCAGGCGGCATCAAACGCTAGCAGGCGACATCACGCAAACGAGGCGACACCACACACACGCTAGCAGGTGACATCACGCAAGCGAGATGACATCACGGAAACGGAGCGTCCCGCGCTCAAGCGCATTCTTCTGCGGTTGAGGCATACTCGTGTCGTGTGAGGACGCCATGCGAGGGATGGCGGCGGAGAGGCGAGGGGAGGAGGGACGGAGGAGGGCCCCCCCAGAGATCGTGAATGCGCTGTGGGGCCTGCCTGGGGGACTCCTGGAGGGGTGCTCGATGGAGGCGTGGGCCTTGGGCTCCGGAAGGGTCTCAGTGCTTTCTGGGGCCCAAGCGCTCCGGGATGTGCAAAGTCGCTGAGACTCGCGGAGCGCCCTGGGGCGGGCCCAAGGAAGATCGCAGCTCGGCCACGAGAGAGAGGGCGATACGAACATCGGCAGCGCACCTCGGGCGAACTCTGCCTCGGCAGGGCGGGTTAGACATGAAGAGAGGCAAGAAACACAACCAGCGAGTTGAAACTCTCTCGCGCGCGCTCCAGCAGTGAATACAGAGATAATGCTGGGCTCTAACTTCACTTCCTGCATTTCCCTCAGCAACGTCAGCGCCTGACGCCACTGCCCACCTAGACACGCACTGGCTCCCGCGTTGTAACTGATTGCGTCTGGCTGGAGCCTCACCGTCCAGAACTCTCGCAGCAGCGATAACGACTGCTGCCAGTGGCCAACCCCTGCACATGCACTGATTGCAGCGTTAAACATGGGGACGTCAGGCGACAGCGACGCTGCTCGCGCCTCGCTGAACAGACACAGCGCCTGCTGCCACTCCCTGCCCTTGTAGCACGCACTCACCCCTGCACTGTAGCTGACTAGAGCGAGCCCGTGGCGTACCATCCACGCTCGCATTCACACCCAAACGCTCAACTGCTGTGGAGGTCCACGGAGCCGAAGATAGCTTAGGTCGGGCAACTACTGGCCCGGGTCAATCCAGACCTGGGTCAGTCAGGCTTTGCAAGATCCTGCAAGATCCTGCAGGATCCCGCACCCAACCCCGGGTCAAATCGACCCTGGCCCTGCGGGATCCTGCAGGGTCTGTCCCTCTGGCTGAACCCCACTGGCGTGGATCCCCGTCGCGAGGCTTACGAATCGGAAGCCGCGAGCGCACATGCTTGCCAAAGCAGACTGCAAGCCCTGCGCACGGAGGCGCCCAGTCGAAGAGCCGAGCGCGGCGGGAGAACTGTGAACATGTGCACGACAGATCCGCACTGAAACAGCGATGCATTCGGTTGCATTCGGTTGCTCGGAGAGGCGGTGGTGTCAGAAGGGAGGGCGAGGAAAACGTCGCAGAGGAAGCATCAGCCTCCAGCTGAATTCGCCCTCCAGCCTGGGAGCCCTGGAGGCATTCGAAATGGGGTCCGAGCAGATGGGGTCGGAGGATTGCGCCATGTCGCCGATGCATGGTCGATGCATCGACAATGCATCGGCGACGTCGGCGGTGCATCGGCGACACAGGCGTGGTCAGAAGTGGGCTCCAGCCCGAGCCGCATCGCCGATGCATCGGCCATGAGGCGTCATCCTCGGCCCCCACCTGCTCGGCCTCCGTCTGGCGTGGGCTGATTTTGTGATGCCCTTCGACAGGCCATCGATGCTTGCTCTCCAACGACTTCGTTCTGTCGGGCGGCGTCTCCTGTCGTCGCCCGCCAGGCCGCAGGCGGCGGGCAGCGCGAGATTTGCTGCTACACCGTCAACTGCGTTCCACGTGTTCGACCAAACGGTTTGTGCTTAGCTGCCCCGACACGCAACACGCAACACGTAGCGTATTGATACGGAGCTCCACACGTAAACTGAACACGTACGTTTCGAACACGGACATTGTGAACACGGCACGTGTTACGTTTCAAAACGTGCGTATCACAGGTGTACCCCGCGGTCGTCCAAAACATGCCCAGGGGGCCTGGGACTTAGATGCTCGACGATGTGGAAGCGGACGCTCGCGACCAGAAGCCTAGAGAGACGCCCCTTGGGAACGCCCGCCTGGAGCGCGCCCAGGGGCAAGGGGTCACGGACCCCCTGGGGTGGCACGAGAGTCCTGGGCTCCATGGAGGACGCTCCCTGCGCGGGGGGTGGGGGGCAAGGGGGGGGCGGCGTCCACTTCCCGCCGCTCGCGAACTCGATACGCACAACATCATGATAGTGCAGATTACATTCGGCTGTAAATCCGCCTGCGCAATCATACGTAGCAAAGATAACGCCTGCTGCCACTCCAGGCCTTTCTCACAAGAGCTGATGCCAGCATTGTAACAAATAACGCTGGGTTCCATTTGAGCTTCCTGCATGTCGCTCAATAACATTAACGCGCGCTGCCATTCACGGCATTTTCCGCACGCGCTGATGGCAGCACCATAGCTGGTGTCATCCCGCCGAATGCGAGATTCCCACATCTCGCTCATCAGCGACATCGCGTGCTCCCAGTTCTCACCTTTCTCACAAGCGCTGATCGCAGCATTGTAGCTGATAGCATCTGGCTTCAGCTGCGCCTCCCGCATCTCCCTCAACAGCGAGAGCGCATGACACCACTGCCCTCCCTTTTCGCAGGAGCTGACTCCAGCAGCGAAGGCTATGACGTCTGGCCGCAGCCTCGCGAGCTGCAGCTCGCCCAAGACTGACAGGGCATGCTGCCATTGGCCACCCTTCTCGCACGCGCTGATCCCTGCACTGTAGCAGATGACGTCCATCCCTGCGGTGACTGCTCGCCCCTCGCTCAGCAGCGACAGCGCCAGCTGCCACTGTTCTTCCTTCACGCACGCGGTGACCCCTGAACTGTAGCTGATTACGTCTGGCCTCAAATTGACTTCCCGCATGTCGCCCAGCAGTGATAACGCCAGCCTCCACTCGCCGCCCTTGGCGCACGCGCTGAGACCAGTATTGTAGCTTATGACGTTCGGCTGCAAGTCTGCTTCCCGCATTTCGCCGAGCAGGGCCAGCGCCTGTTGCCACTCCCTGCCCTTCTCGCAAGCGCTGATTCCAGCGTTGTAACTGACTCGGGAAGAACACTGGCTTCTCATCCGCGAATGGTTTCGACTACGATGCTGACGGGCTGCATGCGCGGACATGCTTGGAAGCCGCTTGCAAGGACCATGATCACGCCCCCTCTTACCCCCCCCAAACACACAATGCGGCCAAGTACAACGCGGGATGGCCGTCAACCTGGAGGCAGTCAAACACGACTAATGCGCACACCCTGCAAAAGAACCTCCAGCCGGTCCACAGGAACATTGAGCTCAAAACTTGCGTTGTCGTCTGTTGACTCGCATGCCGTCACGCAACATTCGTTGCGCGACACTTGCCGCACAAAGGTCTCCGAATGTCTCTGATTCTTGGACGTGTCCCTGAGACAATCTTGCTGGGCAAGGTTTGCCCCTGAGACTACTCAAGGTAACGTCATCCCACCGACATCGTCTTGGACAATCTTGGGCCCGTCCTAGGCCAGCAGGCCAGGATGCCAAACACTTTGACGGCAATACTCCTTTGTACTTGGCCTCTCGGGGGGAGGGGGGGATTTCGGGGAGATTTTGGGGCCTGTCGGGGAGCTGCTCGATGCATGTCGCGGAATTGTCGGGGTTTTGAGCCTCTCGCGGTCGGTTGCGTGGACAATCTGAACAGGATACCTCTTAGTTTGGCATGCGGACAGATTGGCTGGTATTGGCCTTGTCTGGGGGCCGTCTTTGTTCCTGTTGGATCCTTGTGTGGGTCGTATTCGGGCAATTTCTGGTAAATATTTGAACGATCCCGGGCGGTCGGTCGCGTGGACAATTTGGAAACTATACCTCTTGTTTAGGGATTCGGCCGTAGTGGGCTGGTGTTGGGCTTGCCTGGGGGCCGTCTTCGGTCCTGTTGGATCCTTTTGTGGGCAACGTTCGGAGTAATCCGATTGCGGAAGTAATTGCACGATCCCGGCCAAACAAGGCGAGGACTCCTAGAACATGAAAACAGCAATGCGTTCGAATTGTGTCACAGCCCATCAGCTGCTCATCGGGGGTCTCTTAAAAGTCTGCCGCAGAGCATGTTGGGGCAAGCTGGAGGCCCCTCGAGGTCTTGGGTCCGAGTTGACTAGTCGCGGGGTCCTCTGGTCTAGGGCTGCCTCCTGGTCATAATTTTGCAGGTCTCGGGCCAGCTCTGAGCTGACCCTGAGGCTGGCTGGGCATGAGCCTGCTTGCTCGGGCTGCCGCGAGGATTGCAGTATAGGTGATCGCGGGCTCTAAGTTCGCTTTCCGAAGTTCGCCTAATAGCAGCAATGCCTGCTTCCACTGCCTGCTTTTGCCACATGCGCTGATAATGACGTTGTACAAGACGAGCTGGTGCTGCACCCGCATGCGCATGGAATGTCGCAGCAAATCCAACGCTTTAGCCCAGTGCTTCTCCTCAGCATACCTCTTGGCCGTGGCTGCAAAGCTAGCGACACTGTGTCCAACGTCCAGCTGCCCTGCCATGACGGTCGGCACTGCGGCCATCTCACCAACCAGCGGCGACCGCACCTCGAAATGGCAGCTGTGCTGGCGTTCGCGAGCGATCTGCCACGTTGACGCGCTACTGAACTTGAGCACGCCTGCTCATATCAGGCTGAGGCCAGGACGCACGGATACAGTCGCAAGCATGCCCCTACACATGCTTCACCCACCGACAACTATCCTTCACAACTTTCTTCCAACCGGAGTTGCATGAGACGACACGGGGATAGCTTCTGCGCGTTGACCTCAGGCCCCTACCAGATGGATGATTTTGCGCACATGCCATGCTGGAGACTGGCCCTCCACACGGCGAAGTGGGGTGCAGAAGGGGAGAAGCGAGGAATTCTCGACAGAGGTTATTTACACATATGTATATTGATGTGAATACATGCGCATCATATAACTCAGAGAAGCACGTCTCCTCAATATTGATCCGCGCTTTACCTGGGTTCTCACCTCACTTGTGGCGACGTCGCTTGCGCTCCCGCTGTATGATCGGACACAGATTTCTGCTTCAACTGTTTGAACCGTACCGCTGCTGCCGACCTGTTCCACCTGTTTGTCTGTCCCGTATGCTGGCTGTGTTCAGGCCCGTCTGAAAATATGTGTTCGCTACCGTTGCACCTCACCCACCTCATTGCATACCGATGCGCCGGCGCTTCACACCAAAGAGCTGACACACGACAGACGTGGGGGTCAGAGGGCCTACATCATGAAGGGTGGCGCGTGCAGAGGTAAGAGGAATAGCAGGTAGATGGAAACGAACACCCGTGGGGAAGCCGAGCAGGAGGGGCGGACGAAAAGGGGGGAGGAGGAGGAGGCTGGACAAGGGACGGTGGAGAAGGTAAGCATGGGCGGGAGGTACAGAGGGAGGGGGGTGGGGAGGTGGCGGTAGAGGGGGGGGAATACCAAGAAATACCATGAAAAGACACAAGTCCATCAAACCACTGCAAATTTACACGTTTAGTCCGAGGAGGAGTCCCCGTCCCCACGGTGAGGCAAGGGTAGAGGGGGGGGGGAGGGGGATGGAGAGGGCAGGTCCCTTCGTCGCCCATGAAGTGGGGCATGTGGCGGCCCCAATGTCCAGTCCCCGTGGGGTTTTCGAATGTGCCACAAACATGGGGTCCACCAGGAGTCGCCCGCGAACCTCGGCGGGGCTCTGCGGGCGATGCCCCCCCATGCCAGGCGAGGTGCTCCACTCTGTCCTCGCAGCACTGCGCGAGCAACGCTTGGGCTGCCCGTGAGCCGCGGGGTCTTGCCCCGTGTGTGTCCTGGCAGCGCGGCCGATGTCGGGCCCACGGAAATCGCAGCGCGCAAACGCACCTCGCAGCACGCGCCGTGCGCCCCCGGCCAGCTCAAGAGGCGGCCCTGCGATCTGTGCCCGTGCCCCGCCCCAGGAAGAGGAGGAGGAGGAGGAGGAGGAGGAGGAGGAGGAGGAGGAGGAGGAGGAGGAGGAGGAGGAAGGAGGAGGAGGAGGAGGAGGAGGAGGAGGACGAGGAGGGGGAGGAGGGGGAGGAGGAGGAGGAGGAGGAGGAGGAGGAGGAGGAGGAGGAGGAGGAGGAGGAGGAGGAGCAGGCAGAGGGGGAGGAGGAGGAATTGGAGGAGGAGGAGGAAGAGGAGGAGGAGGAGGAACGACCGTACCAAGAAAGGAAGAGACGAGGGCAAGCGGTCAAGACGCGAGAACAGGGCAAGCGTTCCCGCTCCAAGTCGTCTCAGGCTACGCAGTTTGTGAAATAAGTGAAAAGAAAACGCTGTCCGACGGACAATTTCAGGAATGGCGTGCTCAGGGTTAGCGCGTTGCCCAAGCGTCCCAAGGCCGATGCGAACGAGGGGGTCCGAGGAGAGGAAGGAACGAGGGAATGCGAGGAAGTGAAGGAGGCGGGGGCAGGTGAGGTAATGGCCGAGACGATCTGGGCAGGCATCGCACCCCAGCGGACAGGTGCGGCGCGGTCCGAAGGGGAAGCGGTGGCTGGTCCACCACGCTTCCGCCAGAGTCTTATATACGGCCCAGCGAATGGCTGGAGCCTTCTTCGAGAGGTAGCTGGCTAATTCCTGCCAGCGGTCGGGCAGATTCAGTGGCACTGCGAGATCGGGCAGCTCCGAGGGGAGACGGCGTGCTAGGGTCTCTGCGAACTTGTCGGGGAAAATGGAGGAGTGGAGGGCCGAAGCGAGGGATCGCTGGACCCTAGCACGCCTGGATGTTTGAACAGCGGCAGTCTGTTCGTCTGCGGCCGCGTGCTGAGCTGCACGCCAGACGAGCGGTGAGACAGAGCACGGTGGTTTGCCGTCAGCAAGCTCGCGCCAGTATTCGACGATGCCAGGGCTCTTCCAAAACACAAGAGAAACGGTGGCCCGAATACGGGCCTGGCCCAAATCCGCCAGAGACAATTCTGGATTGAGCTGGTCTTGAGCGAGTACCAAGGGGCGATACCGCGGTTTCCAACCGGGAAGCTTGGCAGAGGCCGTGCGCCACGCGGAGGCCAGTGAAAGCGTGATCAGCGACTTGGGGGAGGACGATTGCGACCACGAGCGAGCACCGAGGAGGTCGACGAGGCGCCAGGAGTTGGGGGGGGGCCGGAGAATCTCACGCAAGGTGCCACGTCCGTGCCGCAGGAACGTGACTTGAAATGGAAAATACTGCGCGAGGTACGAGAGGACAGTGACAACGCATGTGTTGTACAGTTTGAGCGCCACTGCGGGGCCAGAAACGCCCGCCGCTAATTGGACCACGCGCAACCAGTATGTATCAAATGCGGCTTTCCATTGAATGTCTAAAGTAACTGCTGGGCCTATGAGCACACCTAGATAGCGAGCGTACTCTGCAAGCTGAATGTGCTGCCACTCAGGCACCAGATACGCTAAGAGGCGTTGGGTGACAGAGTGCACGGCAAGTGAAAGGGGGCCCATAGGGACACAATCGCTGTCTTCTGGGAGTGTTGTTCGAGTCCTGCGAGGGTAGCAGTGGCCTGAAACAAGGGAAGGAGGAAGGGGGGGGGGGGGGCAGGGCGAGCGAGGACGAGACCCAGATCATATGCGCAGGCACCGAGCTTGTTGGATCCAGGGAGGGCGCTGGAAACAAAAAAAAAACTAGGTGTCGAATGGTTGCATCAAGAGCCAAGGCCCAAATCGATCCCAAGAGGGGGCAGTCCTGGAAAATACCTGAGCCGATTTCGAACATGTATTCGAGACGGTCACCTACACGGGCCCAGGCTCCTGGGGAATGATAAAGCGCATAAATGACACTGAGATAGCCTGGAGAAACCCCGTGAGCTACCAGTGCTGCAAACAAAAACTCCCATCCTAAGGATGGGAAGGCAGCTTGGATACCAAAGCTGGCAAGGATAGGGAGAGCATCTGGGGCATCTGGGGAGTGACCTGCTCTACGGGCCTCAGAGTCTAGGGTCAGTGCGTGTTGTCCGAAGTTCCGCTCCTATACCAACCCCTGTTGCGTGTCTATTGTCGGGTCCCTGACCATGTCCACGAGACCCATATGCACGACATGAGCGATCAGTTTGGCGTCGCAGTTCTTTAAGGATAGGGGGCGAGTTGCACCTGGAGCTCGAAAGACGGCACAGTGGCCCTGGGGTTCGTCTCCTTTCGGAAGGAACGCGAAGACCGAGTCGTTGAACTGGTGCGGGGCCAGGCTCGCTTCGAACATCTGCATCATGAGGTCAGGAGTATCTGAGAAGATCCAGGGGGGTGGCCCATGCAGCGCATGGAATCGGATCTGGGCCTGGAGCGGTATGTCTGACCTCGCGGAGGGCCCTCTGAAAGTCCTGAAGAGCTGGAACCCGCAGGTCCGCGCATTCGAACTTGGGGAGGCGCTGGGACAAGCACTGCTGGACCGCCACGGGGTCCACGATCTTGCTCGAGAAGATGGGCTGCCAAAACTTCTGGAGGCCTCCGAGAATGCCCTCTGGGGAACTGGTGGCGGTGAGGGGTGCTGTTGGCGCCCCCTCTTTCGGCACCCTAAGTCCTGAAAGTGCGAGTCGACGGCGAAACGGATTCCAGGCCTGCGCCCGGCGTGCGAGCTGCATCGCGGCCTTCCGACTGCCGGCCTGGTCCAACTGCATCTCGGCGTTGGACCGCAGCTGGCGCTTCGCGGCGAGGGCGACGCGTCTGTCGTTGTCGGCGGCGACCGCCGTGTCTATCAGCTTGACGCACTCGCCCCTGTTCGTGAGTTCGGGGCCGTCGTCCGCGAGGCGCAGGCGCGCGCTGCCGATGTCGGTCGTGGCCATGAGGGGCGACGCTGTGTCTGACTCCTGTCTCCAAATCGCCTGTGAAATTGCTCGAAGAGCAGTGAGCCTGCCACGCTGTGTCCAGCGACTGCGGTCTTGAAGGGGGGAGCGCCGCTGAAGGTTGCGAGCGAGTCTCGCCGCTTCTTTGATGATGAGCTTGCGCCGCTTCCAAGCCGCGCTGAGCGTCAGCGCAGTTTGGCAATGTTGTCCTTCAGAAAGTGAAAGTGGCGCTGGTAGGTGGGGTCGTGGAAGATGATCGGGTCGATGGCGTGCTCTTCTGGCCGCGAGGCTGAGGCGCTGACCAGAAGCGAATGAAGAATGGCATGATCGCTGAGGCCTTCGCCGGATAGCGCCGCGCCGTCTGTGTGAATCTTCAGGCGCGCGTCCGCGCTCACCGGGTCCATGCCCGAGTGGGAAATGAAGAAGATGCGGTCGATCGCCGTGGCCGCCTGCGCGCTGGCCGAGAAGCGCGCGGGGAGGTCGCGCGTGATCTCTGTGAGCGAGGCAAAGAGTTAGCGCCACCGCGCCTGCTCTCGTCAATATTGTCCGCCAGGTGCAGTTGGCCGCCAGCGCGCAGATAGGTCCTTGAAGTTGAAGGAGGGGGCGGCACAGGCATTGAAGTCGCGCGCGGCGATCAAGAGTCTTTGCTGGGGTGCTGCTGCTGCCCAGCTCCGTGAGGCGCGCCGCGCCTCGGCTACGCTGTCCATGTCTGCTGCCACCAAGTCATGATTGCGCACGTTCGTAATGAGCGTTTCGAAGCCCGCGGTGCGATTGGCAACGCGCGGGACGGCCACTCGTCCGCGGATCGCTGGCCAGAGCGTCGCTGATGCATAGGTCGACGCAGGCGTCGGCTCCCCCTTTGCCGCGGTTGAGGGGGCAGCCGCTGACATGTACTTGCTAATCGTACGGACGCTGGACGATGTGCGATTCGAGATCCAACTGAGAGCCGCGTGCTTCTTGCAGGGCGACCAGGGCCCGCTTGCGCATGAAGGGGGTAATCTGCCTTATCTCCCCCCATCTCCTGCAACCACCATGGCAAAGGAGGGCTCTGGCATTCCAACAGATGCAGCTGTCTGCGGCCTCTAAGGTTGTAGGTATGGTAGTAGTTCGCGTCG